TGTAAACAATAGGCACCGCGATACCGACGAGCGTTCTGTGTAGGCTGCCATCTTGTGGCGACGCCATTACTGAGCTGTTACACAGGCATATAGACATATGCACCGGTATGTAAACAAACCTCGGTGATAACGCGAACTCACCCTCGATGACAGCTACAGCCAGGCAGAATGACTTGTTGGTTTGATCTGTGACTGCAGTGGCCTCCAGTCACAGATGAAGGTACAAACGATCTTACAGATTAACGTTATTTATGAAAATAGCTTGGCAAGCTAGCTAGGCTAACGCCTGCTAACGAGGAAACTATAAAAAGATCTGTCCATTTGGCAACAATAAATAAATAAATGAATGAAATCAAATAAACAAATTCATGTTTTTCATTTGTGTCCATTATTTATCTCATTTTCACATTGCAACAGGCAAGGGTAAGGTAACGTTACAGCTAGAAAGTATACATAATATCGACCAATTAGTGTTTTTAAACCATGGAAAGAGGTCAATATAACAGCAGGAAAACAATTATGTCACATAACGTTACATTTAGCTCAGGAAAGCCATTTAATGACCAAAGCATGTTAATTGAATAGAAAAAATAGCAAGAGAGGAGATTTTGCTGATCACTATATCACATATTTATTATATTTTTTTTACTCATGTCATTAAATAATTGTTATTATACGCGAATGTCCACGTCTTGTACTCGCCCAGGAAATCTGTAAACCGTACGGCACCAGACAGGGGCAGTCGACCCGGGGTATTCACAATGTTTTCTCTTCAAAATTTAAATTTTACTGCCACCATTGAAACAATTTATAACGGAAACTGTTTACCCACTCCACATTATACAAGGGGTAACGTTGTAACGTTAGTGACAGTCGTAAATCGCGGGCTGTTTATTCCAGTGGACGCAAGTTGCAACTAAAACAATAGGAGGCAATGGCGCAACGCTACCCAGCAACAGCTCAGTAATGGCGCCCGCTTACTTCCGGTAGTTTCGCCGGATTCGTCTATTGACTAACTGAAGAGATCCAGCCGGCAACTGAACAGTTACACAGTTAAAATCATTGTTTTTGTTTAAAGTTGAAACGATGGCGAAAATATGTTGTGTTTGGGGTTGCGCCACCAGATATACAGCAAAAGGTGTAGGTTTTTTTTTTATCGATTTCCTTCAGAAAAAAGTAAATCTATCCAGCGGAACCTGTGGGTGAGGAGGTTAAAGCGAGTGGACGTCGTCAAAAATGCATGTCGTCTTCTAATTATGAGCCTGAGCCCGATTTAAACCCAACCATTTTTAATACGTGGGTCGTTATATAACTGACGTTCTCAACTTCGCTCATTTCGATTAACCACTTTCTATGTTCCTTTCTTTTGAGCGGTGAGGAGTAAATGCTTCTTCATCGTAAATGCTTCTGATTGGCCATTGCGTTCAATAAATCAACACATATCTCTGTGATTGGCTACCTCGCTCATCGCTGCAGTTATGTTATAAAAAGAAACTCTGCTATGTAAATCATTTCTATTTTGTTTTAGTTGTTCTTGTTGCTTTTCTGCAACAGATGAATACAAATGTATTCGTTTTTATTTGTTTTATTCAGAGATATTTCTAGTCCTGCGAATCGTTTTATTCTCCCGCAATCCGCACACACAGAGTGAATGCTTCAGATCTAGTCCCGCGCCGCGGTCTAGTGCGTTGGGAGGGCACGTCTCTAGATCAAAGAATCTAAGCTCTAATGATCATGTTAACTATACTGTATGTCTGAATTTCCACCACGTCTGTTTTTGAATCAACTGTTGAAATGTAGATTAGACAACTGCTGACGGTGTGTCTCCCTCCAAGCAATTTACTAGTGTTGCCATAGGGACGCTTCTGCTTTTGCCACCCGGAAGAACGTCTGTTATTGTTGTGACGTCATTGTGAATTGTCGTATATAACATTGATTAGTTTTATATACATTGATTCGCTCATCTGTTTGCTCAAGTAACATACATTACTCACGTCCCTGTCAAGTCGAAGTTAGTCACGGTGGAGCTCTCGAAAGATGTTGATATTCGTTTTAGTCCTCTTTTTGTCTTAAAGTCTGCTTGCCATGGTCCATAATGTTTGAACAAAACCCTGCTAAGGACGCTCACGCTGTTGAGCACGCATAATGGGCATAACCGACCCAGTTGTCCACGTCTGTCGCCATGGTTACTATTGCAGTACTAGGTCAAACCTGGCGAAAACCGGAGGTAGCGCATATGACATCATTGACTGGTGACTCCTCACCCCTGCTCACATGTCTCGTTTCCTTGGTTAAAAAAAAAATTTGCAATTTTCTCACGATTTACAAATAGTTGGAAACATTTGGGATATTGTAAGTAATCAACTAAACAAAATATACAACATTGGCCTAGTGGTTTTTAGATATTTTACTGCTAAAATCCTGCATATTGTAACTTTAATCGAGCTCTGCAGGATACTAGTGAAACTTTAGGCAGTGGAGAAACATTGCTGTATCGTTTCAAGATCATGTATCGCTATTTCAGCTCCGATCAAGTATCACTTTCAGCACCACAGACAACGCAAATCAAGTATCGCTATTTCAGCACCACAGACAGCGCCGGTCAAGTATCACTTTCAGCACCACAGACAGCGCTGATCAAGAATCACTTTCAGCACCACAGACAAAATTTAACTTGAGGTACCGCAGTGCTGCTTCACTTGCTCTAACAGTTTCGCTATCTGCACTATAGCGCTGATCATTTATCGCTATTGTGTGTGTATATTAAAGCATGTATACGCATGCTTTATCGTGGTTGTACTGCCTATAATTTGAGATACCGCTGGTTTGACAGCAGAGAGCAGTCAAGATCTAGAGTTTCATAAAACAGGGCCAGAAGAAAAAAACAGCATGGCTAAAACTGATAGCATGGTATACCATGGTACTTTATTCACTACACAAAACAGAATCTATTGTTCTTTTATATATCATGTATGTAATATATATATATATATATATATATATATATATATATATATATACGTATATATATATATATATATATATATATATATATATATATATATATTATTGGATCCGTCACAATGGAGGTCCATTTAAAAAAAAAAGTAATAATAATTTAAAATAATAATTTAAATAATAATAAAAAACATGCTATGTTAAGTCATAATTGAGATTTAAAGTATAATAATGACTAAATAATGACTTTAAAAGTCATAAATCGAAATTATTACATACGTGTTTTAATTATGACAGAAATAACAACAAATCAGGATGCAAATATAGATATTGTAACTGAATCCATTATTGTCATATATTTCCTTGTGTGTGGATTCATTTCTACCTCGTCGTATCCGAACAATAAATCATATAACACTGGGAATTAAAGACTCCATAAAGCTGGGAAAACAGCCAAAGTGGGGGAACATTGTGGGACTAAGGTCAGCACTAAAGGACCTTGACCAGCAACTGAGGTCAGCACAGACACAATATAAAGAACATCATCTGTCAAAATCAGAAACATCCGAAATAAAAGGACTGTGGAACTCAATTCGGGAATGACTAACATAACCCCCAAAAATGAAAGCAACGTTGGCCTGCTATGATATCGATAGGGCAGATTTGAGACCGATCCTTTTACTGAACGTTGTGAAATATTAAGTACATTATAATAGTTGTATTGCCAGAATACTTTTATATAAAGGGTTTTTAAAACTTCTTGTAAAGACATTTGCTGAGGAACTCACACCAGCCTGGCATAACCTCTTCCAACTTTCTATTGACGAGCTTTGGGAAAAAAATCTGATATAATTCTGGTAGGAGATACAGTGTGCCGTTATGCAAGCAATAACGCAAAAAAACATTCCTTTGTTTCTTTGTTGAATTGATTAATGAGCAACTCCATTAAGGTGGTGATGCAACAGCACATATTGTTGGCAGATTAGAGGTAATTTAAATACAGGAGTTGCACACTTTTTTAGGTCATTTATGAACTAAAAGTGAGTTTTCTTTTTCTTTTTTACATATTTCTTTTTTTTAGGGAAGAGTGTTTTATGTGGAATGGATATTAATGTTTGAATTATGTATTTTTTTTTTGGTTGGTTGATGTTTCAGCAGTTCTCTCATCCAAGACACATTTCTCCTACAGGACAATAAACAGTACATTGACCTTGATTAAAAATAGTGCTGGAAGAATGACACCGGAAGTTTCGCTCATTTAAGTTAAAAACGGTCGCACACAGTCATAATTGGGACCCTAATGTTAGAGTTAATGCATGCACTTCTTACCTTTACCTCTAGAGGGAAGCATTATACAACTCAACGATGCTAATTATGTAACAGACGTAACAACCCAGCGAGTCACTTTAAGGAACGTCACGTCGGTGTTTTCGCGTTTGCCTTGCAGACAATTTTATGATTTTATTCAAAAATATACACGTATGAAGTTAAAATATGTTTGAAACTGGTTGTTTATGGACAGGTTATGGGGTCAGTCACAGCATATTCCGGCTGCGAGTGAAACACTGGTCAGCGGTCTGAAGTTAGAAGTTACCCCGCTAAACACGATACAAACGCCGGCACGAGATCCAGCGCTGTTACGGTGGAAACACGAGAACAAACAGAGACTGGTCCTTTACACTTATAAATGTTTCATTTTTACTACTCATATTTGTTAAACGAGCTTAAATGTTTGCAAAATGTATTAAAAATGATATAAAATGTACTATACTGTAAAATGTGATTAAATAAAGGAATTATCATTAAAGCCACTGGTTGTATCCAGTATTTGTAAAAAAAAAAAAAAAAAAGTTTAGAGGTTTTAAGTTAATCCGTAGACATTAATTCATGTATGAAGTTAAAAAAAAACAATTAAAGAAGAAGCTAGTGCCTGGGTTCTACTCTGGATTAAATCAACAACCCAATTTGCTGGGTAAAATTAACCCACCATGTGTTCTGTCCTATATCTACCCAGCCCATGTTGGGTTGTTATTAACCCAGTGTTTTTTTTTTAGAGTGAATAAGACAATTTAGCTTCTCATTTTGAGGATGTGTAGAAGAAAACAAAAAGATACAGGGTTTGATCTTGTGGTTTTTCTACATCTTTCAGATTTCTCACAGGTACGGAGGCTTCTCCCTTTTCTGCGTCCCGGGGCCTGTATCCTCTCAGCCGGGCTGTCGGGCAGGTCATGTCCCATCCCAGAGCGTATTGATCCAGCTTCAGGTTCGCTGTTGGTCATCTATAAATACACACGGGGTGCTATCGGTGTCCTGCCCTGGGGAGGGAGGATTCTCTGGTTGCCGGACCCTTTGTCCCGTCCTCCTGCCCTCCGATGAGGCTATTTCTGAAGGCGATCTATAAGCCGCAAGCACCCCGCCGGCCTGGGGATCAGTTTCTAGGCAGGGGATCAATGGAAAGCTGCAGAATTGAGCGCAGTGAGGGTGGGATGGGAAGAGATGCTCTGCTTTTTATCCAAGACCCTTTCTTTTCTCTCCACCTTTGACTTCAGGGTTACATCTGCTAGTCTTTTATCTATCTGTCATAGGAAGAAAGAAAACACACTGATGTCGCAAAGCTATTCAAAGCTATTGCTATGGAAAGTTTACATTTTATACACTGAAATGTACAATATAAACACATTGCACACAGTCTGTTAAATTGCCCAACATGGTGAAACACAAATTCTGTACAGATTTAAAGTTGCTGAATATACAATATCAACAGTATTAAAAGCTGTTTATGAAAGCATTTAGGCATTTAACACTGAAATTAGAATATATAATATAATCAATTAAGTTGTTATTGACGACATTGATGCATTTTATGTCATTATTTGTACATGTTAAGATTTTAGATGCCGACACTAAAATGGACGATGTGTCAATAAAGTTCTGTACATAAAATTTAACACTCTGAGGTCTGAGGTGTTTTCTGACATGCGCAGACATGTATGCTTTTTTCTGTTACTTGTGACATTTTCATGGCTAAAGTATTATTACACTGTGTTCAGCACAAACTGCTACAATAATATGTCAGCAGCATGTATGTAAAATTTTTGTAGTTTTCAGATAATGACGTTTTTGCGTGGTTTGTGAAAAAAATAAATAAAAATTCACTGAAATAAGGTCATAAAACCCATACTGATTATTTCTTCACAAGACTTTTGAAATTTGAATCACATAACCTAGAGTTTTTGCTCCAAAACTATGTGAAAAATCGTCCTGACTACTCATTCAGACCCCAATATCAACATATTACACATCTCTACTCTAAATTAGAGTTTTAATTTTGTTTTAAAATGCTAAATATAAAACTTACAATATTAATGTATTTATTTATTAAAACTTGCAATGAAAGTTTATAAAAAGATTCAATTAAAATGAGATATTGTGTGCTAAAATAAAAAAAAATTCAACATACTGTAGCTGTATGGCTTCACAGTTGATCTTACATAAAAAGCTGACATTGAAATGTATAATACCAACATGTCTCTAAAGTTGATAGTGAAAATGTAGGCATTCGATTTTAACACTGAAAATTACAATATAAACCTCAATGTACATCTCTAAAGATATTTATATGTAAAATGTTTATGATGCCGATACTGCAACCTAAAATCAACATGTTTTATGTTGTTTAAATTGTTTGTGCTTTAAAAGTTGTCGTTTTACATGTCGACACTAAAACATACCAAATAGACACATTTTCTGAAACAGAAATTATATAAAAGTGACCAGTATGTAAAATGCTGACAAATGTACAATACATTGTAAAAACATAATCGTGGACATTAACGGTAAAACACTGTAAAAATGCTACAGAGCAAAACTGTTTATTGGTAAACAGAAAGTTTCCGTACTATATACGGTAAATAACTGTGATGGATCTCATGGTACATTTAATGTAATTTTACTGTAAAATACCATTAAATTTAAATTTATAATTTACAGTGAAAAAACGTAAATTGACATTCCCATAATTCCCTGTGACACTTCACATTTTATGTATTTTTTGTTGAAATAACTATGTTTCCTCATAGTTTTGTTGTGTGTTAACATGATAGTGTTGAATGTTTGTGTGAATGGCACTGTGCATCTTCTTTATATAAGTATAATCCTTCTTGTGGAAGACTATTTGTGATGAGTTTTGATTAATCATGTGACTCATCACTGCTGTGATGATTGTTGGTTGTCAGTGTATTACAATGGTACAAAACAGATTTCAATACTTCAATAGGTTGGTAAATTAACATTATATCAGATCAAGAAATACGTTTTATTACTGCAAAGTTAAGTCTGTAAAACCAATAACGTTGCTACCGTATTTTTGATGGTAAAGTTCTGGCAACCACAGTTGCCGTTTTTTTACCATAAATAATACGGTTTTATTTTGTACAGTGTAAGAACACACGTAAAATATTATATCAGATAATGAAATACGGTTTATTACTGTAAAGTTAGGTCTGTAAAACTAATAACGCTGCTACTTTTTTTGATGGTAAAGTTCTGGCAACCACAGTTGCTGTTTTGTTTACCGTTAAAAATATGCTTTTATTTTGTACAGTGTAAGAAGTTGAACACACGTACAATATTATATCAGATAATGAAATATGGTTTATTACATTAAAGTTAAGTCTCTAAAACCAATAACGTTGCTACCGTATTTTTGATGGTAAAATTCTGGCAACCACATTTGCTGTTTTTTTACCGTAAAAAATACAGTTTTATTTTGTACAGTGTAAGAACACATGTAAAATGTTATATCAGATAATGAAATACGGTTTATTATTACTGTAAAGTTAAGTCTGTAAAACTAATAACGTTCCTACCGTATTTTTGATGGTAAAGTTCTGGCAACCACAGTTGCCGTTTTGTTTACCGTTAAAAATATGCTTTTATTTTGTACAGTTTAAGAAGTTGAACACACATAAAATATTACATTAGATAATTAAATATGGTTTATTACTGTAAAGTTAAGTCTGTAAAACCAATAACGTTGCTACTGTATTTTTGATGGTAAAGTTCTGGCAACCACAGTTGCCATTTTTTTACCATAAAAATACAGTTTTATTTTGTACAGTGTAAGAAACACGTAAAATATTATATTAGATAATGAAATATGGTTTATTACTGTAAAGTTAAGTCTGTAAAACCAATAACGTTGCTACCATATTTTTGATGGTAAAGTTCAGGCACCCACAGTTGCCGTTTTTTTACCGTAAAAAAAATATGGTTTTATTTTGTACCGTGTAAGAACACACATAAAATATTATATCAGATAATTAAATACGGTTTATTACGGTAAAGTTAAGTCTTTAAAACCAATAACGTTGCTACCGTATTTTTAATGGTAAAGTTCAGGCAACTACAGTTGCCGTTTTTTTTAGCGTAAAAAAATACGGCTTTATTTTGTACAGTGTAAGAACACACGTAAAATATTATTTCAGATAATTAAATACGGTTTTATTACCATGAAGTTAAGTCTGTAAAACCAATAATGTTGCTACCGTATTTTTGACAGTACAATTCTGGCAACCACAGCTGCCGTTTTTTTTTTTTCTCGTAAAAAATACAGTTTTATTTTGTACAGTGTAAGAACACACATGTAAAATATTTTTAGATGATGTCAGTGCCATCCATTTAATCATACAGTAAACAAAAAGTGTGCTAAAGCAAACTTAATGTACTAAATATCGATATAGACCATTTTGCAAGATGTAAACAACACTGGTCCAGAAACACTTCCTGTTTCAGTTAAACTGTTTTCTTTATTTCACATGTAAAGAAAACATCTTAAAGATGTTTAACTTTTTTATTCAGTTTTATATGTTCTTTTGGTTGTATTTTAACCCAGCTTTTATGTAGTGTTAAAAAACTGAAACAGGAAGTGCTTCTGGACCAGTGTTGTTTACATCTTGGAAAATGGTCTATACTACCAGAAAAATGATGTTGAAACAAACTCGTTTTGCTTAAAAAGAGAAAACACATCTGCAAACCTGTACCGCTGCTATCTTTTTCAAACCTTATTATAAGTGAGCTGTTAAATCAGAGTTTTTAACTCAAGGCCAGCTGGGGTGAAGGCGACACGGCTCAGCCAAGCCAAGATAACAGGCTTTTACAATCGATCCTTCCACAACCACAGACTCCTTCACAGCAAACACAGCTCAGCGAGGCCAAGGTACGCCATGATTTCAAAGCCTCTGACATTTCTTTATTATACAACGCCGTACCAACCTTATTCCAGGGAGATGGAATTAGAGTGAAGCATGATGGGAGTCGAGTCAGGAAGAAGGTGAGTTGAAAGAGCTGGCGTCCTCCTTGTGTTGCAAACACCATCTCTTATTTACAGCATTGAACCTGTTTAGGAACAGACAGCAGGAATGATGTGCCCACCAGTGAGTGTGCATCGCCACGGTTACTATGAAGTTAAGTCTGTAAAACCAATAATGTTGCTACCGTATTTTTGACAGTACAATTCTGGCAACCAAAACTGCCGTTTTTTGTTTGTTTGTTTGTTTTCGTAAAAAATACAATTTTATTTTGTACAGTGTAAGAACACACATGTAATTTACAGTTCATTTATAGTTATTTAAACAGTAATGTAACTTGCACCAAGGAAAGCACACTGCAAAATAAAGTGTTACCTAGATTTTACTTACCTTTCATCATGCCGTGGAAAAGATCCCAATAATTTTTTAAAGGTGCAATGTGTAAAAATGTTGAGGATCTATTAACAGACATGCAATATGACATCCATAACTTTGTTTTCAGTGGTGTATAAAGAACTTACTTAATGAACCGTAATGTTTTTTTTTTACCTTAGAACGAGACATCTACATAACCTCGGGAATCCCCTTCTATGAAAGTCGACATATTGTGACGTCATGTTTCTACCGTAGCCGAACGCGAACAAACAACGCTATACAGCGCGTTTCGTCAATACCTTGAAAGAGAAACCGCAGAACGCTAGAAGCTAGCCATAGACATCGTGAGTAGTGACCTTTCCCTTGTGAGTGGTGTAAAATATGTAGTTGGATTGTTTCATGTAACTTAGTTCTTCTCCCTCGCTGTGTTATGGGTTTGTTATGTGGGGATAAATGTGCTGATTAGCTGATTAGCGCTCTTGTCATTGACCGTAAAACTGTATGTTACAGGAATCACCAAACCGTCGATCGTGGTCGACAAGTCGTTCTTGGACGCATTTTAAGTCGATCGCGAAGAGTTTTTCAAAATCAGAGGAAGTAGTAAATGGTATCTAGGGGATGCGGAGGCGCACGCGCTGCTACAATCATGTCATTTTTGCACCTTTGCGTCGAGTTTAAACAAGGCTTTAAGCCCCGTTCACACCACCAGCGATTTTGTCGCTGTGTGTCGCTCGGCTCTTTACTGTGATGTCGCTCTGATGTTATTGGTAGACTGCATGTCTGGCCATATCTATACAAAAGACCATCACAAGTGATATATACAACAATATAATTTTTAATTTCAACGTCATTCGAATTTGACAAATAATCAATTTTCTTGTGTCTAATAGTCAACGTACATGACTATGGAAATGGTAAAATGAACTGCAGCAGTGCTAAACATGCATCATAAAATTAAAACACTCGAACTAGGACGTTAAATGTATAAAATTAAACTCACTGAGACTGTCGACAGTTTCCTTTCCATGCATCATTTTATTCTCCATGTATGTGGTTACAGTCAAATCATACAAAATGAAATCGTCGAACTCTTCTCTCTTGCCTGCACTCGAGATGGTGACGTGACGTGAGCTCCACTGAAAGTCTTCTTTCCTATTGGTTTTCGCTCGCGAAAATCGCTTCTCATTTGCATAAAGTTGAAAATTCTCAACTTTTGTCGCTTGACACGCCCACATTCTGTCGCCAACGGTCACTGTCGCTCGTGTCGCCGGATGTCGCCAGCGCTCCATTGAAATGAATGGGATCTTGTCGCTTTGTCGCTGGCGGTGTGAACGGGGCTTTACGCTTTAACCAGCTCATATTAGCCAGCTAAACTTTTACTTTTTTAAACTTTTTTTGGTACATAAACAGTGACAATGTTACACACTCTTGTCTTACTCTGGCTATTCTCTGCTGTCTCAGACGACGTTATGTTTGTCCCATTTTAGCCACCGTAGCTTCTTCGAAAGGGAGAGGTGAGCAGTGGGCTGAGCCCTTAGTGAAAACTCGCAACCGAACCGCTAAAAATCACACACTGCACCTTTAATGCTCTTTAAACAGGGTGGAAATCATGTAGTAACAGGGTTGAATGAATTTGGGGAATTTTCATAATTAAATACGCTACTAAGCCAATATGTACACTTCAAAGTGCCTGAAGAGTAAGCAGATCAGACGACATTTAGGATAAATAATTTAATGCTAATATTACATCAATACATGTACACTCTCACAAAAGTGAAAGAACCAAAAGTTGCCATGTCCTCTCTTTTTAAACAAAACAAAACATCAACAGTCCTTTAAATATTGCTTAACTAATTTAAAATTCCCTTTGACAACAATAGCAGATGCCTGAGAGTGGAAAACCTTAAATTAAAGACGTCTGCACACGCTCACCGCAAACGCGCACTCACACACACACAATACATGACTGTAGAGAGGGGTCCTAAATTCACATCATGCACCCCCTTTTTAAAACCAATATTACACCACACTGTGAGAAATTATGCTTTAACAGTCCAAATAAGAGAAGTAGTGACCCAAATACTCTTTTGGTTTTGATCATTCTCACATATCGCTCCCATACAGTGTTTGGAAGTTTATCGGTCGTAGCAAATCGGCTGTGTTTTGAATAAACAGTCTGTGTGCATCAGCAAGAAGCGAATGATAACTTTGGAAGAAATCCTGTCCTGGTTGTTTTGACAATTGCGTATTGTTCTGTGACAGTCAACGCCAATCTAATTATCTGTGGGCTTTAAAACAGAGACACACCACCACACTTGTATTCGGTGAAGGGAAATTGCTTTAGTCAATATCGGGATATCCTTTTATAAAGGAACTGTGGATTCTGAGTGCAGGCAGAGCCTGAGATCCAACATAATCCATTAGCAAAGGATTCTGGGTAAGCTAACCCCATGCACACAACAGCAAAGCACTTAAATCTAGATGTCTGTTGGTGTTCAGTAACAAAAACAGCAGTCTAGGCACTCCTAATGGAACAGACTGAAGGACAGATCTTGGTATGAAGAAGGCTATGGGTTGTTTGAGAACATTACATTAACAAACACCATTACGAAGACGTCGGAATGGAAAAGAAATGAAACTGTTATCACTATCCCATGGATCAAAATGCATTTATATCTCCATGTAAACTGTGGTCTTATCTTGTATGATGCTTTAGAAATGCTTTATAAATAACCGTTTTGACTTTTGAGTAGATGCATTTCTTCTTCCTTGCTTCTTTTGATGTAGAAAATCGTGTACAATAATCAGAAGTGATTGTAGGTTCTGCTTAGTGTGATACTACATGTTGTCATCTATGTCAAATATGGCTGTCAGTATCGAGTATAAAAACATTAGCAAATACAGAGTGATGTGAAAAACGGTCTCACTAGTATTATTGAGTTTATATCTGACTTCCTGATATGATACTATATTAACCAGAGCTCGTGAGAAGAGAAGAGACGAGATGACGAGACAAGACAAATACAGACGAGAGAGGAGATGAGAAAAGGTGAGATGAGAAGAAAATGGGTTAGGGAAATAGGAAAGACAAGAGAGGAGAGGAGAGAAAAGGAAATGAAAGAGATATGATGGTGAGAAAAGACACGAGATAACATTAAACTAGACATGATGAGAAAAACATGAAAAAGAGAGAACAGGAGATCAGAAGATGAGCAGAGACTAAACAAGAGAAGTTAAGGCGAGACAAAAAGATGAGAAAAAAACATGAAATAAAAGGAGACAAGATGAGATAAAAGTAATAGGAGAACAGAGAAGAGGAAATATGGCAAGCCGTTTTAGCTTTTATTCATTTCCAGGATATTAATTTTTGATACCAACAATTGTATTTTCACTAGTCAAATGTCACCATAGGCTGCCTTTCAAAATAAATTGTTGATATCAAGAATTCATTTTTTACTAGTAGAAATATCATTTTTGATATCAATAATTACATTGTTACTAGTAAAAATGTGAATTCCGGATATCAATAATTAAATTGTCACTAGTTGAAATGTCTATTCTTGGTATAAACAATTCAATTGCTACTAGTAAAAATGTTCATTTTAGATATCTGAAAATGTCTTATTTCAGATATATCTAAATTGGCTTTCTTACTAGTAACAATCACATTCATGATATCAGAAATTAACATTGTCACTAGTAAACATTTAATTATTGATATCAAAAATGAAAATTGTTACTAGTAACAATTCAATTGTTGATTCAAGAATAGACATTTCAACTAGTAACAATTTAATTCTTGATATCAAAAATAAAGGTTTTTACTAGTAATAATTGTATTTCTGATTTGTAAAATTGGTATTTCAACTAGTAAGAAATCAATTGTTGATATCAATAACTATTATTTTAACTAGTGAAATTGTAATTGTTGATAACAAGAATTCATATCCTGGAAATGATTAAAAGTTAAAACGGCTTGCCACAATAGGCTACCATTCAAAATGAATTGTTGATATCAATAATATATTTTTTACTAGTAGAAATATAATTTTTGATATCAATAATTACATAGTTACTAGTAAAAATGTGAATTCCTGATATCAATAATTAAATGTCTAGTTGAAATGTCTATTCTTGATATCAACAATTCAATTGCTACTAGTAAAAATGTTCATTTTAGATATCTGAAAAATGTATTTCTGATATCAATATTATTTCAGATATATCTAAATTGGCTTTCTGACTAGTAACAATCACATTCATGATATCAGAAAGTAACATTGTCACTAGTGAAAATTTAATTATTGATATCAAAAATGAACATTGTTACTAGTAGCAATTCAATTGCTGATTTCAAGAATAGACATTTCAACTTGTAAAAATGTAATTCTTGATATTAAAAATAAAGGTTTTTACTAGTAATAATTGTATTTCTGATATTAGAATTGGTATTTTAACTAGTAAGAAATCAATTGTTGATATCAATAACTATTATTGTAATTGTAATTGTTGATATCAAGAATTCATATCCTGGAAATGATTAAATGTTAAAACGGCTTGCCATAGAGGAATTGGGTTGAAACGGATATAAAGATGAGGAGGGACAAGATGTGAAAAAAAAAAAAAATGAGACAAGACAAAATGAGAAAGAAAAGTTGAAACGAGAAAAGCAGAGATCTGAGAAACAAAAGATAAAAAGACAAAACTAAAGATGATGAGAGGAAAATTGAAGATGAGTAAAGGCAAAAGCAAAAACATGAGAAGACA